AGTTCGTTTGCTTTGAGTGAAAGAGGGGTTGGAGATCAAGCGTTACTAGACATATGGTACTATATGGGGAAATATCAAAGAGAAATGTATAGCATAATTACAGATCAAATTGATGGCCAATTAGACCTTAATCAAGCAAAAATCTAAATCCGTGATACCGGTACATAAAAAAAACAGAAAATATATAAAAATACAGAAAATATACATAGTCATAAACAAACTGTACGAGAGTCATAAACAGTTCACAGTAGAAGTTAGATTCAAAATTCATAGAGTACGGTACTTGGCTAACCACTTCAACGTTAATGAGTACCGGTATTGTTCTGTCAGTGTCAGTTGAAATCACATCCACGTTGTTATAACACCGTAGGTATGGTACGGTACCGGTACGGTACGCTGCGAGCAAAACACTATAGCAAATTGTAAAAGTGAGTCTATTAAGGTTAATGCCATACGGTACCGAAGTACCACCGGTAGTTGTAAACTTCACAGAATATGGTAAAGCGGGGTTTGGTCGTTTAGCTCCATCTTCAGTGGTGGGATTCAAAAATCATATTTTTCAGCCGGTTCTGTTACAAAAAGTCATGTTTTTTCAGTAATGCTAACCGGTTCGCTGATCTCATAAAATTCCGTCAGACTGTTCTATGGAACCGGTGCGAACCGGCTGAATTCCACTACCGGTACTGGGTATCTTCATGTTTAAATCTCCGTCATCTAGAATGGGATATCGTCAGTTCGCATTTGGCTGTTATTACAAATCCGCAATATGCTAGCGGAATAAATGATAAACCGTCTTATATTTTAACTTTTGATAGTATGAATCCATTCCCTTTGTGAATATTCATACTGAGAAAATATGATATGTTTATTGAAGATTAATTTTTAGCATACTTGGTTATAATGGGATTTTCTTACAGATCATGCCAGTCCAAAAGATATTCATTTCACCATTTCAGTTTGTTGTTGAGGTGAAAGAAAGTAATTGATTTGCGTTTGATTTAGAAGGTGATTCTATATTCTTAATATTAACAGTCGAAAGTTATTTTAGTTGTATTTTATTGCATGGGAGTAACTGTTTATTTAAGCAAGTGACATATGTTTATATATTCCTAGTATTAAACAGTTGTTATCTTCCTTTTTTATTTGCCAGCTGGCCATAATAGACCTTATTCAATAAAAACCCATCCTACGCGCAAAAAGAAAAGTGATGTAAAAAATTTTTTTTAACATTGGCTCTTATGGGGAATGTGATCACCAGAGCAGAAATTTGCATTTTATGTAATTTCCTAGATATCTTTCATTGTATACGTGAGCAGGTTTGAGGATAGAATATTTTTTACATCTTTTTTGATATTTTTATTATGATAAACATGGTTAAGATTTTTAATAATCGTTCATTGAAATTTTAATGAGCGCGGTGTTTCCGATGACGTCATTCTCACTAGACCATGAGATTCTGCCAACGCGCCGTGCTCTGTGGGATATGCGCTCCAACTGCTTGTGATAACAGAATACTGGAATACCGGTACTGGGACCACAACTGGCGTTCAACGAAAGACCTATTTTGGTTTTAATAAGATGTTATATATTTCATGAATTCCAGGTACATTTCTGATACACCTTTCAATATCCAATGGCCTAACTCAGTTCATATGTTGACGGTACCTACCATGTACGGTACCTATCCCAAAATTGGTGATGTTCAGGGCAGGATTTGGACCATGAGAGGCCCCTTCATATTTTTGAGCTCAGAATTTCTCTCTAAACAACACCATATTTAATTGCTTAAAATTTAAAAATATGGAAGCATTAAACTTTTCATTCTCCTCATCCATGGGTGTGAATTTTTAATTAAAAGAATGATAATTTACTTGAAGCAGTTTTGCTTTCAATTTCTTTGATCAAACAACCGCTACAGCCATCTTTAACATAGAAACTTCCAGCAGAATGCGCATAATAATAATTTCCCTTATTATGATGCAAACGACGCAATAATGGCTGTTTACAATGTGGTTGAAACTAGTTGTGTACAGAATTTTCTACTCTGAAAAGCTTGATATATATATATATACTTTTTGTAGGGTTTAAACTTGTCAAGTTTTCAAAAGAATTACAAACATTGAAACCGAATTTCGAGGCTCTAGGTTTCAGCCTGCCTAGCCTATTGGCAAATCCAGCCCTGGTGATGGTCCCTACTAGGGATGGGACGAGTCCGGCATTACAGGGATTCGACGAATCCGAGTAATTGGTCAAGGACTCGAATCTGCCGAGTCCGTGACGTCATAATAGAAAAGCAGAAAAACACGGTTTTGACCATGCTACAGCATCGTCCGCTCACAAACATACATCGTAGCTCATATTTTTTGCCTAATGGTTCCGCAGATAGCTGTTGAATCATTTTAAAAATATAGTTTCCTCTTTTTGGCGGCCATAATACATACGTAAACGTGGGTCAATGTGCGCCTTGGCTGTGAACTGGATTTCCAGCCCACCACCTTGCGTCAATTCTAGTCGGCTATTCAGATATTCTTACATGTCAATATAAAAAATAAAAAGCTTTTGACTACAATGCTTTCCCATAATTCCAGATATTGCTAGCCGTAAATTTACTATGTCACATGCGCATATGGTAGAGGAATGCCACTCGTCGTCAATACATTGTGGTACATCTGCTTGCATATTAGTAGTTCATGTAAGCGTTCTAAAACTCTCCATGCTTTTAGCCATTGCCTTTTTAGCGAAAAGATTGCACGTAATAAACTCGATTTAGAAGAGGTATTGAGATTCCACATTGAGTTGATCCAGGGCATGTTTCATTTTTACGCGAATCAAAAACTCAAAAATATTGCGCCAACACATATTTTATTGTGTACCATGTGTATACCGAAAAGGATAGATAGTTTGAAGGCGACTGGCGCAACATCATTGTTATAAGCGATCAATAGTTTTCAACTTGCGTTATATTATCCGGATATCTGTCGTCGTTTTATTAGGAGTGTTTATATTGCACACGAGGGATATTGTTACAGATCTAACTTTGAATTTTAACTAGTTAAGGTATGTAGTGGGATTTAAAGAGGTAAAAGTACAAACATAGGCGTAAATTAGTAAAAACAGAATTGATTATGGACTCGGTAAAAATGACGTGGATTCGGAATCGAATCCGAGTCCAAAAAATGTCTGGATTCGACTCGAGTCCGGATCCGAATCCCGGCCCATCCCTAGTCCCTACAGAAATTTCTGGCCCTAATCACTCAGCAGATTGAAATAAACGGTTTTCAGCATTTCCGGCCCATCCCTAGTCCCTACAGCAAATTTCTGGCCCTAATCACTCAGCAGATTGAAATAAATGGTTTTCAGCATTTATTAGCAAAGATAGATATTTTAATCAAACATATAGTTCAACTTAAAGCCTGTATAATGATATTATAAATATATGTCCCATTATTACTGCATTGTGAGAAGGCTTTCCACACTATCAAGTCTATAAGGTTTTAGCGTCTTCCAATGTCTCAGATGGAAACTTAAGTCTTCATTTCGCATATTCTTTTCATTAATGCCATTAGCATTTGTAGCTTGACTGATTCCAATGTACCTTTCCATTGTTGTTTAATGTAATATCCTAAACGTGACTTCAAATTTTTTTCTCACTTCGATCATCACATGTTTGAATACCCGAGCTGACTTCTACTGATTTGTTATTGATTTACAATTTTTTTATAAATTAACTGTCGTACTTGCTAAGTGAAAATCTACAAAAAAAGCAGTGTTTAATAATGGACTACATTTTTAACCGAATCCAAAAATATTCCGTAACTTAGTCAACCCTTCCTCCGAGGAGTTTTTGTTAAATTGTTCAAACATCTTAATTACCTGTTAATCTTGATAGCAAACATGGGGGGCAGGGGGGAGATGACTGTGATGGACGTATCGCTCCCCAGTCTATACCGAATAACTGTGTGTTTTGTATATGATTTTTATTGATTCAATGCTTGTATTCTGGTTGACAAAATAAATCTCCCTCTCGTATTCAGTCATCTTTTTTAACCTAGTTACGAGACCGGTATTGTACCATTATAGGTCGGAGATATTCATCTTTTTTGTATACCGGTACCGTACAACTTGTCCTGCCTATTTCAGTATTTACTAAATAATTTATGCTTCCGAAAACAAACAATACAGTAAAACTAATCCCATACCCGACTTGGAATGGTAACCGGACGAGAGGCCGTGGTTCGCCATATGGATAAGCCGTCTTATCGGCTTTCCTTTCCCCCGGGATAAATATGTAAATCCTATCCTATCCTATCCACCTCTTGCAGGCTTGGTACGGTACCGGTAGTTTAAATAACACGTCAGCATGTGCAAATGCAAATTTCTGCTCTGGTGATCACATTCCCCATGAGAGCTAATGTTAAAAAAAAATTTTTTACATCACTTTTCTTTTTGCGAGTAGGATGGGTTTTTAATGAATAAGGTCTATTCTTCTGAAACTCAAGACAAGTTAAGTTATTAGAATAAGCTTGTATACTATTATTCATTTTGTTGGTATCTCAGTCCAGAGATTATTTCCTTTCTATACTCTTATCGGAATTCAGACTTAATTCACATGAATATATAATATTTCATTACCAGATTTTATTGATTGTTTGAATTTAGTCCAAAATATCCCATCACATACTGGATTGGGATAGTTGACTAATTAAATTTCTCATAATTAAACTCAATGGCCGTCTGATCTGTCAAACGAAATATGTGGAAAAGACTTTAAAACAGCAAGTAATTTGAAAAAGCATTCGAGAGTTCATACTGGAGAAAAACCATATTCTTGTAGGATATGTGGAAAAGGTTTTGCGCGGTCCAGCAATATTTGAATATTCATATACAAAGTCATACAGGAGAGAAGATATATCCCTGCAAAATATGTGGCAGACATTTCTTGCAAGCAGTTAGTATGGATCGGCATATCAAAGAAATGCATACTGGTAAAAGGCTATGCTCTTGTGAGATATGTGGGAAAAGTTTTTTGAAAGCAGATAATCTGAAAAGTCATATGCGAAGGCATACAGGGGAAAAACCATATTCCTGTAAAATATGCGGCAAATGTTTTGTGGACAAAAGTGCTGTGAATGCTCATGTACGAATTCATACAGGAGAGAAGCCATTTTCTTGTAAGATATGTGGCAAATGTTTTTTACAATTTAGCAGTTTGAATAGACATATGCGAATCCATTCAGATGATAAACCATACTCCTGTGAGATATGTGGCAAATGTTTTTCAGACTCAAGTTATTTAAACACACACATGCGAATCCATTCAGGTGATAAACCTTACTCCTGTGAGATATGTGGCAAATGTTTTTCACAATCAGGCCATTTGAACGAACACATGCGAATCCATACAAGTGATAAGCCTTGTTCGTGTGAAATATGTGGCAAATGTTTTGCACAATCAAGGTTTTTGAACACACATGTGCGAATCCATTCAAGTGATAATCCTTATTCCTGTGAAATATGTGGTAAATGCTTCACATGTTCCAGTAGTCTGAATGTGCATAGAAGAATTCATACAGGAGAGAAGCCATATTCTTGCGAAATATGTGGCAAATGTTTTTTACGATCACATGATTTGAACAGACACATACGAATCCATGCAGGTGATAAACCATACTCATGTGAGGTATGTGGCAAATGTTTTTCACAATCAAGTCATTTTAACACGCACATGCGAATCCATGCAAGTGAAAAGCAGTACTCATGTGAGATATGTGGCAAATGTTTTTCACGATCTTGGAACTTGAATAGACATATGAAAATTCATAATAAGAAAAACATTACGATTGAGAAACATGTGGAGAGTGTTCCATGAAAAAAATGTAATGGAAGTCGATGTGTGATATAAACAGTTGGAAAAACTTGTGCCGAATGAAATGGTGTGTGACATGGCAAGACATGAATAAATTCTAGAATCTAGAGCAGGGCCGTACAACTCTTGGCCCGCGGGCCACTTTGAGAATCTTTTTCTATTTTATCACCTGGTCTTTTATTCAAATGTAGCCCCAACCAAATAATCAAACATGCCGGGGACATAAGCAATAATTGCCAATGCTGAAATCCTTGATGTTACGGCGATGAGGCAAAATATTGATGAGTTGACAACTTTGGATTGCTTTGGCGCCTAAAGAATGTACGGTAACAGACATGGAACAAGCAATTCAGGATCCCGAGTAAAGGTGAATGGTTAATATCGCCGTCCGGTAGAGATAGAGTTCCGCCTTCTGCCATTCATCGGATTATGATAAATACAGAGACAAGATAATTAACAAAAGTTCTTCAAGGACAACAAAATGTTTTCTCGAAACTTTTTAGGCATCAGGAGTCAGTTGTGAAAGCGAGACACTTGGTGGCAGAAATAATCGCAAAACAATCGAACCATTCTCAGATGGAGAATTCATTAAGGAATGCATTGTTCGGGTTGTCAATGTTATATGTCCGGAAATGAAACTTTTGGGAATCACCACTGATGGCGCTCCATCAATTTTTGGGAGACTGCAGGGTCTAGTAAACTCTATCCAAATTGGAGCAAGTAAAGTCGGAAATGACACTACTATGCAGTTCCAATGCATAATACACCAAGAGAATCTTTGTGCCAAGTCACTGAGAATGCCAAATGTCATGTCAGTTGTCACTAAAACGGTTACCTCCTAAGGGCTGCGTCACAGATAGTTTCAAGAATTACTGCACAGCATGGATGCAGACTTTGATGACATTCCATACACCAAGGTCCGATGGTTATGCCGCGGCAAAGTGCTGAAATGGGTGTTTGAACTCGAGGGTGCAATACAAACTTTTATGGAAAGCAAGGGTACTCGTATTGTTGAATTCAATAACAAGAAATGGATAGAAGATTTTGCATTTATGGTGGATATAACTACCCATCTAAACGAATTAAATTCCCGCCTGCAATAAAGAGGCCAACTGATCAATCCGTATTTGGTCATGTCAACGACTATGCGAAACGCAAATAAACAACAACTACTTTGTTCATTTCCCTACTCTTCAGACTCTTCCAGTTCAAAACAGTCGGAAATATACAAAACTAATAACGGAATTAAAGGAAGATTTCAAACTCAGATTTGCCGACTTTGAAAAGACTGTCGTGTATTTCAAGCTGTTTTCCTGCCCTTTTTCAGAAGATAGATGAGTTACCTGAAAACCTACAAATGGAGTGCATTGAAACTGATTTAAAGGAGAAGTTTAATGAGGACTTGCCATTACTAGAATTTTACCGAAAATGCGACTCTAATGAAAAATTTCAGAGGATTCACAGAATGGAAGCAGCACTTACTTGTGCGAGCAAGATGAACCCTTCGCATTGCTACATCGCAGATAAACTTTTTAGCGAAAAGCAGTGCCAAACTTCACACTAAAATATCAACGTGTAAAGAAGACTTTGTTGACTTTACTGTATCTTTGTTTTTTTATTGTTATTATTAAAGTTTTGTGCGAGGATTTTGTTTGTTTTTTCATTAACTTTTAGTCAGTGTTTCATTGTTTGATTTTCATTCGTGAATGTAAACAATACGTTTTTGCGACTTTGAATGCTATTCGTTAGTTTTTGGTTGTGTTTCGGAAATTTAAGTTTGAATCAATTAAGTCAATCATCAAAAATTAGTCTAGAAATAGCTGTGACAAAATAGGCTAAAATTATCTACCAGTACGCAACGTTTCTTGTGCTAAAATAAACGTTGAATGTGCACTTTGCGCTAACAGTACTGTGACCCTTTGCGTACTGCTCCAATTTCACAAGTCAGACTAACTTTTGTATTGCTCAAATGCGGATATTCATGGTACTAAAAAATTGAAGTTCATCCGTAGGGATGGGCAATATAGAATTCCAATAGAAATAGAAATATAGAATACCGATATAGAATTCCAATAGAAATAAACCAATAGAATACCAATATAGAATTCCCAAAGTATTCGAATCCAACGGGATCCGATAACAGGATTCGGTTTCCGCCTCTCCGGCGCCAAGCGTCAATTTTTGTATATCGGGTTTCTAATTTATCAATAATAGACGAGCGTTTTTCTCGCGTGGGAATCTCTCTCGTTTAATTAAACTTGCCTCTGCTCGCAAAGAACCCGTAAATCGGTAAACATCAAACACTGTAATTTCAATCGGCATATTCAGGACAAGAAGTCGGTAATATAACCTCACGGCGAGGACTCGTTATTGCACCATTTTTGCGTTTTCCTTCTTTGCTATCTAGCTAGCGTTATTTGTGCCGACTTACTGGAGATGTCCCGATAATCTGAATGCAACAATCTTTAATTGTTTACAGACGTGCCTTGCCTCATTTTAAATTAAATGATTTTTCGCGACCTACGAGTTTTTTCAAAAAATGATGCACGTAAACCGAAAGCCAGGCGTTAAATGTTATAACATTACTCGCCATTAATTTAGATCAAATATTATTTACGAATAATTTTATTATACCATTTTCCGAAATACAAAGTTATATCGCAAAACGCGAACTACTGTCACATTTAAATTTCACTCTCAAAAGATTACATATTTTTCGGTCCGTTTCTATCGTTCAAGATAAGCGCACGTTTGATCGAGTGTCTGTAGTATTTTAGTCGCCGATAAATTATGAAAAAAGTTGCCGCATCTGGCGAAGATAGTGACGTATTGAATTTGAGTAGGGCTAAGTCTGGGTAGATAATGATTAATGATAACATTTCTATCGTTCAAGATAGACGCACGTTTGATCGAGTGTCTGTAGTATTTTAGTTGCCGATAAATTTTGAAAAAAGTTGCCGCATCTGGCGAAGATAGTGACGTATTGAATTTGAGTAGGGCTAAGTCTGGGTAGATAATGATTAATGATAACATTTCTATCGTTCAATACAGACGCACGTTTGATCGGACTCTGTAGTATTTTAGTCATCGATGGATTTTGAAAAAAGTTGCCGCATCTGGCGGAGATAGTGACGTATTGAATTTGAGTAGGGCCAAGTCTGGGTAGATAAAGATATGTAACGATAATCATAGAAAATGAGTTCGTCTTCAGATGTTATTACCTAATAACTAAGTACGAAATCGCGTTTACGGAACTTGGTTTTACGTGTCTTGCTCTCGCCCAATAAAAGGTTGATTTTATTTGATAGTGGTTAAATTTAATATTTTACAACGGCGCATAGGTTGCAGTGGCCACACGCTGGTTCAGCATCTAATTAATTCTCAGCGGGTATGTTGTAGTATACTCGGCAGACTTACATTAATAATGATTTAACGCCGTTTCATGTCTATTTTGTATTTAACCACTTACTATTAAAGTGTGTAAAGCGTGTCTCAATTTAGAATATCAGTATTTATTAGTATTTAGGGATTACATACATTTGGAACAATTGAGGGCAAAAAATATTGTAATATTCCTAAATTTTATTGTCCTGGGAACTGCCTGTTTAGTATCAAATGAAATCCAATGTTCAGGACATTTCCAAATAGATAATACATTTATAGTGAGTAATACATTTGTAATTTTTTACCATCTAAATCCAGCAATGTAGAAATTCCCACTATTTGAATAAGTATGAAAATAGAATAGGATTCGGTATTCTGGATTCGATTTAACTATTCTAGAATAGTAAATTATTCTACATTGCCCATCCCTATTCATCCGATTTAAATAAAAACTGAAGTTTAAATAAAAACTGCGCCAGTGGATAGATGTCGGTGAAAATACCAATACCAAGTTTATAAGAAACGGTCAAGAAATAACGGAGACATCGGAATTTTAGGACCGCCCGACGGGCCGATCATTTCCATAAGGATTGTATTATCTTTGTTGATAATAATTGTGATAAATATGAAAAAAAAAAACACATGTGCGTCACATATATGGAATAGTGAGAATATTTCAGGATTTTATTCTGGTTTTTGATACTTGAAGGATATTTTTAAATAGGTGTGTTTGTGACATGTAATTAAACAGCCACCTTAAGTTCTGTAATTTTCTCAAATTTCAAATGGTATTTACATATTACTTTTTTGTATTTCACTAATATTGCAATCTATACAAATCAACTTTCTGTAAATTATCACTCTCTGTATGAATATGACACTTTTCACTTGAAAAATGTATTTTAAAAAAAAAAAAACTTACAAAATATTGCAGTTATTCTTAAGCGTTCAAGGGGCGCGAGTAGGGATGTAAGATTCGAATATTTTATGTGCGAATCAATAAGTTCCGATTCGAATATTTCCGAATCTGATTCTATTTAGTATAACATCACATTATCGTTTAATTTCATCAAATTTGGGAAAACTATAGCATAAATTATGATTAAATACCAAAAACGAAGAATAATGTTGTTGTTATGATGGCATTACATAGGTAATTCAAAGACACGTTTATATGACATATTTGCAAATCTTCTTAACATTTTAAATAGTCTAAATAAAATTTTACGAAACCATTGGTTCCTCTAAAGCTGTGACCCATATGAAATATAACTTACGACTTGGGAACGCTGTAAACGTAGCGAAAATATACGCTTTTGGTCGATTATGAGATAACGTCACTGTGTCGTGCAATCGCCTCGTGCTATTTAAATTATTAATATTTTTTTAAATAGAATCAAATTGACGTTGATTCGAATCGCTTCAATTCTAAAACTCACATCCCTAGCCGCGAGGAAGAACCCCTGATCTACCATGCTGAAAATGCTATCAAGGTGCAACCCTGATCATTCAGTCAGCAAATTCCATATGCAAGAGGACATGTCCCAAACACTAGCGGGCCCATTCTTTCTTCTAATTTTGTAATCAACTGTAACTTTCTTGTTAAGACATGATTGGTATTTAATAATGGGTGAAGTTGCCTTTACGCATAGCTGGTTTTCCCCTCCATATAGTTTCATTCATAGGTATATAACCCTTCTCCTCTAGAAAGTTTACCTCCCAAATATCAGGCAAATCTTGCCTCGGTGTACTCCAGTGAAAACAAGTTTTATAATTCTGACAAGTCTTAACGAACTAGTTTTACTTCCTTTAACATTATTAATTTTAAAAACAACAGTAAATCTAAAACTAAAATAACAAGATTATTCCTATAGTTATTATGGAACATTTTAAATTGCTCGAATCGGCCACAAATTTGAATATTTTGCGCAATAGAAAAATTTAAAAACATGCGTTCTGTCAAGATTACAAGGAATCCAAAGTATTGTTGAATTCAAAATGGTTTATTCCACCATGAAATGCGTTCCTTCAATACACGCAACAACTAAAAGCCACATCCGACCAAAAAGCAACAAATTCACACTCACGCATTCAATTGAATTCGTTAAGTTGCTTAAGTCTTGCCTATACTGCACCTCCAGTTTTGGTTCAGTACCAATCTAACTTTATAAAGCGAATAACGCAATAATCACATCTGTCATGCGTATTTTGTGATGCAATAGTGAAGTTCGTCCAGCATTTTACGGATGGCTAAATACAGGCAGAGTAGTGTGAATAAAAGTTGGTATTATTTGCGTTGGGAGATGTCAGTCGCCACAAGATATAAAAATATATAGATATAAAATAATAATATAAAAATCACTAATGCGCATATGCATTATTCATACTGCTATATTATTCGATTAAACGTCACAATAATATCCGGATATCAGATAGCAAAAGAACTCTCGGTTATCCGGATAGCCGCTATCCGGATAATTTAACCCTATTGATGAGCGAGACAAACTGCGCGGAAAAATCACCTGAAATCAACACTTGGCCTGCTTTGAAGCTAAAAGGGGATTCTCCGACTGCGCAGACCGAATTGATTGAACTAATGAGAGAGGGAGAGAGAGAGTTATTGTTTTTTCAACCAGAAAAAACAATGGTATACGAAAAAATATATACAATATACACAAGGTTAATTCGGTATAGACTGGGGGGAGCGATACGACCATAAGATCATCAGAGTCAGCTCCCCCCAGAAAGAGCTTGGGTGACTGGAAAGCTCGTTTGCTTTGAGTGAAAGAGGGTTGTTGGAGACCAAGCGTTACTAGACAGAAACCAGACAGAAAATAAATGATTCCCTTGACATTGGATTCTTTGATAGTTTTGATATTTTTCTTTGTGACTATTATGTTTTCGAACTGAGCATATTGATTTAGATCTGGTGCTTCACACTTAGCTTCTGTTGTCGAAATAAGACCTTGGTAAGTTTGGTGACTTAGAAATTGTTTTGCTCTTTCTTGTGGTGTTGCTCCTGTTAAACTTATTTTCCAAATGTTCAATTCTCCTGTGAAGGTGTGTTCAAGCCAATTTAATCTTTCATCATTAGGGTCTATGTAAGGTCTGAGATCTTTGGTATATCTATAATCTTTTCTTGTGTTCATCAAGTCAAACCACTTATATTCATTATCCAGGCAATCCAAGCACTTCTCTCCATCTCTATAAGGAAAAAATCAAACAAAGACCCCGATATCCTGTGAAATAACAACCTTATTCC